TGCTTGGGGGTCCTATGACCAGGTGCGCGCAACTTAATAATTTAAAAAAATCTACATATCATAAAGTCACCCGGCCTGCCTTCCTTCTCTCCTGTGAGTGACACACCTCAGAGTGGGCTGTGCTCACGCACCATTCAACAAACAATTGTTAGGCACCACATGTATGCTTGGATGATCCAGACTGGGGAATGTGGGGCAGCCCAGAGAGGGACGCTGAGGAGTCTAGTTTGGCCACGAAGCGGAGAGTTAACTGTCCCTAATAAATTGTTCAACATTAAGGGCACCAGTAATGTCGACACCAGGAAAGACAGTCACCCAGCTGTGGCTCCTGAGGCCAAGCCTGCGCGGGCGGGGCGGCCCCAAAGGCAAGCGCAACAAGTGGCCTTGACTCGCCCCCTTTCCACGGGGGAAACTAGGCAGAAGAGCAGAAGTCACCAGTCAGGCGTCCTCAGGGCGCTGGCCTTCCGCTTGCCCCTGTCCCCGCTGGCCCACGAAATCAGAGGTCGGGTCCGCCTGAGCCCCAACTCCTAGGGCCACCCTGGAACCAGGGAAAGTTCAAGACCCAACGGGGCAGCAAGAGCCGGGAAGCCTCTCCCTCAGATGTGGCCACGGCCAAGCCCAGCGGCGCCCAGGCCTTGTGGAGCTGTGGGTGCCCCCCAGGTGGCGGCCGCCCAGCCGGGGACAGACGCGGGGCCTGGGATCCGTCCCGAGCGCGGGTCCCGCGCGTCCTCTGGGCGTGGAGGGCGGCTCCGCCCGGAGTCGGGAGCGGCGGCGCGGACCTGTCCCCCGGGGCTGCAGGGCGGGCTCACCACAGCGCCGTGCGCTCCCGCGGGTGCCGCAGCCGCTCCAGGGCGCCCAGGGTGGCGGGCAGCGCGTGGGCCGCGTTTCGCGCCAGCAGCGCGATGAGCACCCGCGGCGCCTGCAGCGGCGACTCCGGGCTCCAGCGCTCCTCGGGAAAGTAGGCGGCGACACCTGGCGGGCCCCCCGGAGGCGGAGGCGCCAGCAGCAGCAGCAGCAGGAGTAGCAGCGGCGGCCGCAGGCCCGGGAGTGGCTGCCCGCGCCGCCGGCACGCGCGTGGGGCCGCCGCCATCGCGCCACGCGTCGCCTTTAAGCCGCTTTTCTGCCGGCGGACGCGGGCCGCGCCTTAAAGGGTCATCGGTCATCCAGGCACCGCCTCTGACGCGCGACTTAAAGGGGAGGAGCACGCTTGGCGTCCAGTTAGCCGACTGGGCTGGTCTCCCAGGCTCCGCCTCTGAACAAACTTAAAGCCCCTCAGCGCCGCTGACCCTCCGACAACTCGAGGCCGCCCCTTCGTGACGTCACGGACCAGCCCCCAGAGCCCCGCCCCGCGTTGCCTCCTTAAAGGCACAGAGAGCTGCTGACGGAGCCGGCCTGGCGTGGCAGCCAGACGTTCGCTCACTCCGGGAGGTCAGCCTTAGGAGCCGTCTAACTTCCACGTGTTTAAGACCCGCGTTGCCAGCAGACGGACCTGGCTAGATAGGACCCAAAAGATCTGAGTTTCCTTGGCTGCAACATGTGATCTACCATCCTGGTTCCTGACCTCTCCTTAGGGGTTGTTGAGCCTCCTGGCACCCAGAAACCCGCCTTCAAATCCAGCCCCCGCAGTGGACGCGCTGAGGCTGTCCGCCTTGTGTAACATGGGGTCAGAGAGAACCCTCAGGCCTGGCGCGAGCGGCCAGACACTGCAGTGCCTAAGCAAGTCCTCCCGCAGGGTCATCATTTCCATGGAAATCCTCCCAGGAGATTGTTTTGCAATATATAATGTATTTTCTTTTCTTTCTTTTAGTGCCCGGGATTGAGCCCAGGGGCGCTTAAGCACTGATCCACACCCCTAGCCCTTTTTCTGTATTTTACTTAGAGACTTGGCGTCTTACTGAGTTGCTTAGCGCCTCGCTGAGTGGCTGAGGCTGATTTTAACTCGAGATCCTCCTGCCTCAGCCTCCCGAGCTGCTGGGATTACACGTGTGCGCCACGGCGCCTGGTTCTGTAATGTTCTGCATAATCGTGTTTGTGTCATTCTTTAAAATGAACTTTTAAGCCTGATGCTCAAACACATATTTATTTACGAAGATGGGGGCGAGAGGGTTCAATATTGTGGAATTCAGGGCACTCGCGGAGTGCAGCCCCGTGGGCACCACAGGTAGTGGGACCCGAAATTTAAGGAACCAAGATGAAGGCGGGGCCTAAGGAAGAAAGTGGGCGAAACCTGAAAGTCCGGGCCAGGCCCAACTACCTGGGGCACAGGACACTCACCCCTTCTGCATCCCAGTCTTCCCGTTTTTGCCCACAATACTCCCCACTACAAGGTAACTGTTTGGCTCTTCTGAAAGAATCTTGATTGGTGACATGATTGTGTGGGGTGGGGGAGGACTGGGAAAGGGAATGTTGCCTACAGGTCACTGCTGAATCTGTGCAGGGCCCACGGGGTCTGTGATGTGAGGAGTGTGTTTGAAACTTTCCACAATAAAAAGGCAAAAAAAAAAAAAAATACTCGGGATTGGATAAGGAAAGAGCTTAAGAGCTTTCATATTATTAACAAAAACAAGGTGACAGGATATCTCATTCCATCTGGAAAGATTTAGACACCCCTAGGACAAAGAATGGCTTTGTCAAAAGGGGAAGGCTAACAAATTCTTATTGCTACAGTGTTTCCAGAATTAACAGCTCCACCCTGTCCCGGGAAAGGGGGACACAGCTGGAGGCTGTAAAGCCTCTCTTTGGGCAGAGCTGGGGATGGCCCACGGTGGTGTCCCATAGGCCAGGCAAGGGCTCTGCCACCGAGCCACGCCTCCAGCCTGAGAGGCACAGCACAAATTTAGCTCAGAAAGTAGAGTTGGAAGAAAAGTCTGGAAAGCTCAGGCTTCTCTCATTCTCTTGGGAAAGACGGAAAACCAGATCAGAAAGGAAGGAAATCATCCGGAGTGTACAGGTCCCTCTGAAAGCTGACTGCAGCAGAACCCCAGGGAAATCCCTCGGAGGCCAGCTCCGGAAGCCGCTGGACAGGCTGTGACACTGGAGAATGCTGCCAACCTCCGGAGAACAGATGACTTTTTTGGCAAGCAGAGGGAAGTCAGTAACTGAGCTCCTGTCTCAGCATAGAAACCTGATACCCAGTTAAGACTGGGGACTGAGGAAAGCTCTGGGTAGAGGGGCTGCTCACAGGCCCTGGGTTCCAGCCCCAGCACCCTTCCTTGCAAAAGAAAGTTTTGGAGAGAGAACTAAACCCGGAAAGTTCACAGCAAGCTGAGGAGGGAAAAAAAAATCATGACCTGTATCACAAAGCATGATTATCCTTAATATACAAAGAGTTGTTCTTTATCAACAAGAAAACACTAAACACTCCTGAAGAAAAAGCAGGTAAAACACAGGAAAAATTAGCCTTAAAAATAATAACAAAAAATCACAAACGTATGGCCAATAACAAGCTCAATTTAGCTATCAAAGCAATTTTTAAAAGACAATGAGGTAGTTATCTATCAAATTAACAGGTTATTTTTCTTTAATGAAAAGTCCTCATATGGAAAAAGATGTGTAGAAAATGCAGAAATGCTGGGGCTGGGGCTGGGGCTCAGAGGTAGAGCGCTCGCCTAGCACATGCGAGGCCCTGGGTTCGATCCTCAGCACCACATAAAAATAGATAAAATAAAGCCATTGTGTCAACTACAAAAAAAAAAAAAAAAACCTGCACAAAAGCAGTGGGCGTCTAAAAGAACACAGTTTTTCCAGAGGCTCAGGGGTTACAAAAGTGTAGAAAATAGCCCAAAACTTCTATGTGGAGACGTTGAGCCAGTGGGAATGTGGGTGGATGTGGGTGAAGTCGGCTCCAGGTGTCCCTGGGGAGGTGGCGGGTGCAGTGGCTGGCGTTGGCACCAGAGTCTGGCAACTTGGGGCAAGTCCTTTTTCAGACCTGAGCCTCGGTTTCCTCATCTGTAAAATGGTGAGCATCATAATGGTGCCCCCAAAATTAGCATGTCAAGGGCCTGGTGCATAAGGGATGCTCTATGGGGACTTAATGAAAACTTGATAGGAATGGATAAGCATCCAGGGGGTACGTGGCTAAGGACATGGACGGAAGGAAGGAGCTAAAAATACTGACCAAGCTGCCTGAGTGCAGGAGAGTGCTTTGGAGACCACTGAGGATGTGACAGACACTTCCTCTACATCCTGAGATTTCCCCTGGGGAGTTCCCCACAAGGCTCTGCGCTTGCCTGAGAAGTTGTTCCCTGGAATCTGGGGATTGATTCCAGGGCCCCCTACAGATACCAAAATCTTTAGATGCTTAAACTTCGTATATAAAGTAGCATTAACATTTGCCTCCTGTAGACTTGAAGTCATCTCTAGATGCCGTATAATATCTGATCCAATGTCTATGCTAATTAAATAGTTGTTACGTTGTATTGTTGAAGGAAATAATGGACACACAAAATGTCTGGGGCTAAGAATGTAGCTCAGTGGCAGAGCTTTCCCCAGCTTCCCCCAGCATGAGGAAGCCCTGGGTTCCATCCCAGTTCTGCAAAGGTCTCTACGTGTTCATTCAGATGCAATTTTTTTTCTCAAATATTTTTGATCCATGGTTGGTTAAATTCCCAGATGTGAATCCCACATCTTCAGAGGGCTGACTGTACAAGGTTATTCCCTGTGACCTGAGCTGTTTGTCTGAAAGACGAGGAACAAAACACCCAGTAATTTAGTTCTGGTTAAAAAGTCTCAGGGGGCTGGGTACAAGTGGAGCACACCTATAATCCCAGCGACTCAGGAGGCTGAGGCAGGAGGATGGCGAGTTCAAAGCCAGCCTCAGCAACTTAGTGAAACCCTGTCACAAAATAAAAAAAATAAAAAGTGCTGGGGATGTGACTCAGTGCTCCTGGTTCAATCCAGAGTTTAAAAAAAAAAAAAGAAAGAAAGAGAGAGAAAGACTCTTTAACCATTTGTTCTAGTTAGTGCAAATATTCATCCATTTATCTCATTTATCTGCAGGAATTGGTGACAGGGTACTGCTCCAGAACAGCTGGGGAGTGTATTAGTTAGCTATTGCTGTGTAACAAATTGACCCCTTAATATGCCCATCTCACAGTGTCCTCACGGATGATAAACTCAAGGGTCATCCCATGTCCACAGTGTCCCCTCCTCCTATTGAGGACAGGAAGCAGCTGATGGGAAGCACCCTGCTTTGTCCTGGCCAGAAGAGATGGGTCACCGGCTCAGCACCAGTCCAGCTCCCAGGGCTGAGCCCACATGCCTCAGAGCCGGGGCCCACAGGGTCCTTCTGCAGCTCAGAGAATCCACGGTGGCTTCTCATCACCTTGCTGGTCACCAGCTTGGCCCACCTAGCAGGACAGGAGAGACGTGCTGTTCCATCCCCAAAGCCACACTCCCCAGAAGACCATGCCCCCTGCGCTGCCCCCGGCCCCTTAGAACCCACTGAGCGCTGGGGAAACTTCCAGGTCTTACCTGCTGCCTCCTGGTGCCACGAGGCCTCCTGAGTGCAGGGCGAGTCGCTGGTGCCAAGGCCCTTTTTCAATTCTGAAGTAAGAGATAAGCCCCTGGATGCATCTGGGGAGGCCCAGGGGCCCAGGGGCTGCCGTGCACTCTCCTAGAGAGGCCACCGGACACCAAGGCTCCAGGCCAGGTCTTAACCAGGATCCTGAGCCGGGCGCTCAGGGAGCCTCCCGCCATGCCCCCCTCCGCAGCAGACATTGCTAACCGAGCCTTGCACCCCTCATCCAACCCGGAGGCCACCAGCCCCTCCCAATACACTGGTCTGAACAGACATCAGAAATCAATCGACGATGGAGCCTTGAAGGACCCACAGCACCCCCAGGACCAGAAACTCACTGAGGCCCCTGGATGGGGACGGAATGTTGCAGTCAGAGAATATCTTTTTTTTTTTTTTTTTTCATTTAAAACTCCTGCTATTCTAAGGCATCCTGGTCCTGTTGGGCCACCCACAGGCAAGGACAGCCTCGCCCGGATCCCTGGCTCCTGGGATGGCAAGGTCTCTGGTTTCTGCCACCTCTCTGACCTCCTATGCTCCCTCCTCCCCTCTGTGTCCTTCAAATACAGGCTCTTCTGAGGTTCCTCTCCGCTCCTGACCTGGCTTCTGGGCTCCCCTTGGCTGCTCCCTCTGCTTGGGCCCACTCCTTGTCCCCAGGACCATGGGGACCACAGCCTCCTTCGTAGCTTCCAATGTGACTCTCTCCCCCTCCCCTCACACACCCTCTATGGCTCCCTATTGCCTAAACAATAAAGTCCAAATTCCTCTTCCTGTCCTCCAAGTCCGTGCCCATCGGCTCCAGCAGCCTCCAGCCTCCCCCTCACACCCGTGTGCCAGCAAGATGGCACACAGATGCCATGACATCGCCTGTCACCCACCCCCAGCCCACTGTGCGTGTGCACACACGTCTCTGGGGTCACAGGCTCATAGGCAAACAGGCCGGAGGGAGATGTTTCTAGAGTTGTTAGCCAGCCCTGGAGCTCCGGAGGGGTCTGCCCACGTCTGAGTTCCCCGGGAGCCTCGGCACCAGCCCAGCATGAAGCGGGGGTGAGAGCCCATTCCTAGTCTTATCGTGGGTTTGATCTGGGGGTCTGTCCCAGCTCTTGAGCTCTGCCGCCTCCCCCGATCCTGAGGACCCCACACAGCTCTCATGGCCTCGCTCAGAGGCCCCCCTCCCTCAGGGAGCCCCTCACTGTCCACCTGGGAACCGGACCCCAGTCCCGACCCAGGTTAAAGGGCAAGTGTCACAAGCAGTGGGGGCAGCCAGGGCCTCCAGCCTCCTGTGGCACCGCGGGGCGGGCTCACCTTGGTCGATCCTCTGCAGCAAGGCTTCCCGGATGACATCCTCGTAGATGCCCTCGATGGTCAGGGCCTGGCTGCCCATGGCAAGGACGTCCCCCTCAAACTCGGGCAGCTTCTGGAACTGTGGGGAGTGAAGGCTACCCTGGGGACAAGGACCTCTACACACCCAGGATGTGGGTTTGGGCCCCGATTAGCTGGGGGAACTTGGGCCTCCGTTTTCTTATCTATAAAATGGACTCGGTGACCCATATCCCCGAGGGTTGTTGTGCAGATGAACAGCATTAGCAAGGTCTATGGTCTGACCCTGTCCCCCAGAGTCATGACTTAGAAATTTAGTCCCTGGTGCCTGCGAGGAGAGATGGGTCCTTTAAGAGGTGGTTAGATACACTCCTGCCTCAGGGCCTTTGCATGTGCTGTGCCCTCTGCCTGGAACACCCTCCAGGGACACACAGCTTGTACCTTTAGTTCCTTGCTTTTCAAGTGTCATTTCTCAAAGAGACCCTTCCTGACACCTGGCAACTCACCTACTGCGCATCTCCCTCTTCCCTCCTCCATCTGGCAACACAGGGACCCGCCCACCATCAGGTGGCAGGTCAAGGGTCATGAGAAAGGCAGAGGACCCAGAAGAGCCACCTGGTCCAGCCCCAGGATCAGGGAAGAAAAGCCTCTGATGGGCACAGTGGCTTTGCCAGGGAGGAAGCGCACTGTCCCTTCTATGGAGAGCCCAACGCCGGCCGCCCCCGGGACTCACGGTTCTGCAGTTCCGCTGGAGCTGGCTCAGCACGAAGGGCAGGGAGATGCTCAGCAGCCAGCCCCGGACGCACCTGCGCTGCTCGGCCTCGCCGTCCGACTGGAACTTCTGCACCAGACGCCCAGGGCCCGGTCCAGCGGCCATTTAGGCAGCCAGGCCCACCCCACCCGCCCCGCAGACCTCACCTTCAGCACCCGCCCTCCCACTCTCCCCAGCTGCTCAGCCGCCTGCTGGCAGTCCAGGGAGGTGGTCAGACACTGGTCCGCCAGCTGCAGGAAGGTGGCCACAGCGTTGGCCATGAGCTGTGGGAAGAGGTGCTGAGGTGACATGCCTGCCCAGCGCCCTCCAGCCTGCCCTGGTCAGCCAGCTCCCCACCCCCTCCTCCACCCACCTCTCATCTCAGGAAGAGGGGAGGTGCCAGGGCACCTGGATTGGGAAGTAGAGACCCAGCTGGAGTTCAACCCCCACTGCCAAGGGTTCTTGTGCAGTGTGCAAACTGAACAACTGTGCCAGGCAGCACCGGATCATCCCAATTCCTGCCTCTGACGTGCGTGTCAGCTCTGCCGGTCACCCGGGTCCCCCCAGCACAGCTTGGCCACTGTTCTGTGGAGGCCACTCTTCCCCCCACAGCCTCCTGCTGCCCTCACCTGCTGTGCAAGATCCTGGACCCCAAACACCAAGCTCTGTGTCCCCAGGAAGCCGAATGGTGCTGCCAGCTGCCCCAGGGTTCCAAGACTGCGCTCGGCCTCCCGATAGCACTTCCGCATCAGCTCTGGGTCCCAGGGCATCTCCCCAAATGCGTAAACCTGTGCTCCAGGGGGTTGGGTGACAAAAACCCATCAATGGATAGAAAAGCAAGGCCAAGGTCCCTGTGGCCAATTTGCTGAAGGAGAAATGAGAGTGGAGACACATCCCACCTCAGCTGTCACCAAAAAACTTGTAGTAAGTCACAGGTTTGGTGAGAGAGACATAAAATAGAAAACCTGAAAAAAAATGATAACTAGTGGTGTTGGCATGAATGAGGGTAAATGCACACACACCCTGTTGGAATCACCTTGTGAGCAACACCTGATGTCCTTTTCCTGCTGGGGTCTGGGGCTGCATAAATGGAGTCTCTCACCTCTCTCTCTCTCTCTCTTCTCTTCTCTTCTCTTCTCTTCTCTCTCTCTCTCTCTCTCTCTCTATATATATATATATWTTTTTTTTTTTTTTTTTTTTTTTTTTGGTAAGCAGCATTGAACTCAGAGGTGCTTAACCACCGAGCCACATGAGCCCGTTTTATTTTTTATTTAGAGGCAGGGTCTTAGTGCCTGCTGTTGCTGAGGCCGACTCTGAACTCGCCATCCTCCTGCCTCAGCCCCTGGAGAAGCTGGGATGAGCCCCGCACCCGGCTCTGCTCACATTTCTGTCTTTGTTGTTTTACTTAGTGGTTATTTATTATTTCCTTATATGCAGAGCAGAGAATCGAAGCCAGTGCCTCGCGCGTGCCAGGCAAGTGCTCGACCCTGAGCCACAGCCCGGCCCTCCGCTCACGTTTCAGACTGAGCCAGAATATCTGTCGCGTGGTGCTGAGGGGACTTCCACCAAGGTCCACAAGAGATAAAGAGCAGCCTGAGGCAAAGATCAGAGAAGGCTTTGCAACAGGAAGGAGGCTCTGGGGTACAGCTGACCTGCCCCCTGCGGGTCCCAACTCCCCCCTGGCTCACCTCTCTGCGCAGCCGCGCGCTGGAGGGGTTCCCACGCAGGTGGCGGGACAGGCGGTCCATGCCCTGGGCGAGGAGGGTCCGCACCGCGTCCAGCGCGGCTTCCACGGTGCTCAGCAGCGTCTGCGTGACCTGGGGCAGCTGCGTGTCCACCTTCCGGCGCAGGCAGGCCTTCAGCGGGCCCTGGACATCCGCTGCTTGTGGAAGGCACCGGCCTGAGGTCTCCACAGAGCACCCCAAGGCCGAGTGCGGGGGGGACCCTGGCTCAGCAGGGCCTAGGGGACGCGGCCACTCCAGGCCTCCACCTTCCCTGACCCACCTGCTCCCAGGCCCGGCCCCGCCCAGGCCCCGCCCACTCGGCCTCTGGGCCCCGCCCCTTGCCGGCCCTGCCCCTCCAGGGTTCCCAGGCCCCGCCCTCTGCTCTGGCTCCGCACCAGGCCCCGCCCACTCGGCCTCTGGGCCCCGCCCCTTGCCGGCCCTGCCCCTCCAGGGTTCCCAGGCCCCGCCCTCTGCTCTGGCTCCGCCCCCACACCCGGCCTCCCTCGGGCGGGCCTCACCCCGTAGCCTCACCCCGCAGCCTCCCCGCCACGCGCGCCCGCAGCTGCAGCATCTGGTCGAGGTCCGGGCGGAGGCTCCTGTCCAGGGACGCCAGCAGCTCGTCCTTCTCCGGCTGGAAGGCGCGGAGCCCCGCCGAGGCGCCCGCCAGGACCGCGGCGTAGACGGCGTCCGCGAGCTGCCCCGACCAGCGCCCAGGACCCGGGGCGGGAGAGGACGCGAGAGTTCGGCGACGTCGTGGGTCGGGAACCCGGGCCACCGCCCCTCACCTTCCCACCGGCCCCACCCCGGGTACCTCCGTCCAGGCCCAGGCCCGGGCGCGGCCAGCTCCCCGCAGGTCCCGCAGGCTCTGGGCCCGCGTGGCCGGCAGCAGCCCCCGCAGCAGCACCGCCGTCAGCACCTGCAAGACGGGGCGTGGGCGCAGGGCCGGCCGCAGGCGTCCGGGCTCCCGAGGCCGCCGGGTGGGGCACTGACCTCCGCATCGGAGCCGAGGGTCGCGTCGTCCTCGCCAAAGTGGCCGCGGTGCTGCCGGTAGAGCCGGACGGCCTCCAGGAAGGCGCGGGCAGCCGGCGCCTGGCTCCGCTGCAGGACTGAAGGGCGGCTCCTCAGGGCACCCCGCAGCCTGGCTCCCCGACAGCCCGAGAGGCCCTGAGCTCACCGGGAGCACCCAAGGGCCACCCACCTCCGCATCTCGGCACCAGCACAACCCTCCCGCAGGAAACGCACTCCGGCTGGACCACCTCCACCATAAGGCACCCTGGCTCCACTGAGGAGGGGCAACCCCACGCGCAACCGCAGCCCCTGGTCAGCAGCTCAGGCCATACAGAGGCCCCTAACTGCCCTCGGAGGGGGGGTACGTTTGTGCAGTCAACAACCGGTTCAACTGCATGTGCCCATCCTGTTTCCCTGCTTCACCTGGCTGACCCCTCATCTTTTCTAGACTTCAGCTTCAACCTCTCCTCCTCTGGAAAGACCTCCCTCACGGCATGGTCTGTGTCTCCGTCACAGCCCTGGTGTTACTGTTCTCACAACTGCCTGGGGTCCCTTTTATCTTCCCCAGCAACCCATTTTATGGATGAGAAAACTGAGGCATGAAGATGTCCCACGTGACAGAGCCATCTGATCCCAAACCCCGAGCCCCATGACTGCCTAAAACTTCCTACTACCTACCTGTGCCCCGAAGTCGGATGCCACCCTGCAGGGCCAGACGCCAGGCACGCTGTGCCTCTCTGGTGGCTGCAGAGAAGCAGAGGTGCCTGCGGAAGGGGTGCTGCAGGAATAGGGGGAAGCTCACCGGCGCTTCCAAGAGGGGTTCAGTGTCTTCTTGCACCTGGTCCCCTGAAAGCAGCCAGAAGAAGTCAAGTCATCATTCATCCATTCAGTCACTAAAAGATACCCACAAACTACATACGGAGCCTCCGGGAAGGGGAGTCACTCAACAAGCCCGAACCGCCTTGGTGTGGCTGCCAGTCTTCAGGACACTCCTGAGGCCGGCCCTGTGCCTCCCGGTATGCCCAGGGCAGACATCACCAACCCATCCCAGCCTTTGTTCCCCAGCACAGCTTCCAGGCAGCCATCACCCATCGATCCCCGGCTGGGACGCATCCAAGCGCTGTTTCCGGGAGTACTGGAGTCAGTCAGGCCTCGGGTCAAACCCGGCTGAACTATTTTCTGACTCTACAAATTGGGCACACTTTATTTTTCTCCCCATACTGGGAATTGAACCCAGGGGCACTGGACCACTGAGCCACATCCCCAGCCCTTTTTGTATTTTACTTAGAGATGGGGTTTCCCTGAAATGCTTAATGGCCTCACTATTGCTGAGGCTGGCTTTGAACTCATGATCCTCCTGCCTCAGCCTCCTGAGCTGCTGGAATTACAGGCATGCGCCACTGTGCCCGACCAAATAGGGCACACTTTTTCCTCATTCTGAACTTCAGTTTTCTTGCCTGTAAAATGGACTTAATATGATACTGATGACTTAGAACTGGAAATTGGGCAAAATGAGTGTATCCATTTTTGGTGAATTGACTTGGGGTCTCCTCAGTCCCCAGTATTTTGCTCTAATTTCCAGAGAGACACATACAAGACTGTGAAAAGACCCAAAAATCCAGGTAGTGGAAATTCCTGGACCTCCCAGCTCAGAGATAAAAATCTAGACACCATCCAGATTTTGAAGTCTGCTTGTGGGTCGGGGGCATGGCTCAGTGGTGGACATTTGCCCAGCACCATGAGGCCCTGGGTTCCATCCCCAGCCTGCAAAATAAATAAAAACTAAAAAATAAAGTCTACATGCAAATGTGGGGGGGCATCTGTGAAACAGACGGGGTCTTCCGTCTGTCACTGGCAGTTCTGCCCCTCGGTGTTTGGGGCTCCCTCGGCAGGTGCAATGTCGGGGCCATCATTGACTCAAGCAGCCGGAAGGAGGGCGTGGGTCTTAATCAGCAGCCACGCACTTCGTCTGCTCCTTTGCTGGTAGAATGAGCTTGGCTGTGAACCGAGGGTGGGATTTTGGCTCTGTGCCTTACCCACCGTGGGTCGTTCCTCAGCCTCAACATCCTCATCTGTGAAATGGGGTCATCAGTGAAGAGGCTGCCGGCTGGGCAGGCACAAGATAGCACCCCCAAGCCTACCCTGGCCCAGGGGTGTTGCTTCTCACCCTAAACCTTTTTCTGCAGCATGTTGGAGGAGGAAGAGGAAGAGAGAGGGAGAAAGAGGGAGAGAGAGGGGGGGGGGAAGAAAGAGGGAGAGAGAGAAAGAAAGGGACACACACACACACTCACACTTGCACATTCAGGAGCCCTCAGCAGGTAGATGAACCCCGCAGCCAAATCTGGGCGACCTCCCCCCCCCCAGTGCCCGTCTCCCCACGAGCCTGCTGACTCTGGGTTTTCTGGCTTTCACCAGCTCTGCTGTTTCGGTTCCCCTCGGGTGACCTAACTGCTCCTCTCAGCCTGGAGGGGGGTGGTTTCTTCCCAGAGGGGGACAGCTCCCCCGGGGCAATGCTGCTCTCTCTGCCAGGGGACGTGACATCTGGAGACTGTTGGGGTCACGTCTGGGGGGGATTGCCGCAGTGCGTGAGGCCAGGGGTGCTGATCGGCTCCCGCCGTGCACCCAGGGTGGTCCCCGGCTCCAAGGACGTGCTGAGCGGGGAAACCTACTTCTGGGGCCTCGGGAGCCCTACCGGAGGAGTCAGGGCACAGCGCGTCCAGGAGGCGGAGGTACTCAGGCTGGGACGTCAGGAGCGTGTACCCCGTCAGGGCCGTGGAGCCGAGGACAGGGCGCCCGCTTTCATACTCCTAGGGAACCCAGGACAGGGGCTGTCGGCCAAAAATGCCACCCGCCTCCCCCCCTGCCCCGCCCCTCCCCCTGCCCCAGCGCCCCGCCCCCTCCGCGCTGAGCGGGACCGGGTCCCCATGAGCATTTTCCCTGCGCAGCGGAACGCCTTCGCCCCATTTCATGGAGGCGCAACTGAATCCCAGCGAGTGATCTCTCCCAGCTCAGGCGAGGGACCGAGGCGGTGGCCCACCCAGGCCGAGTGCACAGGGCTCTCACTCATCCCGGTGCCAGCGCTGGCCCCGCGTGGTGCCGGGGAGGGCAGGACGGAAGACGCCAGAAGCAGTCCCTTCTTCTGCACCCGCGCACCTCTTTGTGCCTGAACCATTCCAGACGACCGTCCCCACGGAGAACGCAGAAGACCGCCTGCCACCGGGGCGGGTGGCCCTGCAGGTGCATCAGGGCCCCTCGGTGCTCGCGGACGCGCGGCAGCTTCTGCACAAGAAAGGACCAGGGGGATGCTGAGCTCTCCGTCACCTGGACAGCTCTGGCTGTGGTATGATGTTTTTAAGTCCAGGTGCCGCGAGTGAAGGGCACACCGCCCCTCCTCCTCCTCCTCCTCCTCCTCCTCCTCCTCCTCCTGAGCTGTTGCCCAGCTTGGCCTCCAACTCTTGTGCTCAAGGGATCCTCCTGCCTCAGCCTCCTGAGTTGCTGGGATTACAGGCTGTGAGCCTCTGCCGCCACCATGTGTCCTTAGGGACCTAACCAGGGATGCCGTGTGAAGCACACACACAGGGAACACTTGTTCCAAAGATGAATATTGCTAAGGCCGTGGCAGGGCATGTGGGCTGAGGAGGCCCGGACACTCAGGCCCCTGCACCCAGTGGCACCCACTTTGCTTCGAAACAGCTGGCATCCGGCTGGCTCCTGGGGGCCCAGCTCTCTGGAGATCTGCCTCAGGACAGACGCGGCCAGCTGCCTGCGGTAACAAGGCAGGAAGTTCCTCAGCAGGACGTCCACCTCACCTGCGGGACAAAGGGACAGCAGCCCCATTGGGCCCTAAACAGCTGCCTGGGAAGAGATCAGATGGGGCCCCTGAGGCTGCCGAGGAGACTGTCCTGAATCCCGTTCTCCCTCAACGCCCCGACCCTCTCCACGGGCTCAGGGGACTCGGGCCTCGCTGGTGTCTTTCTGTAAATGTCATTCAGAGTCTAAAGCACGGAGCCCGGCCACACATCCACGCCAGGGTCACCAAATTCAGAGCTGGAGCAGACCCCTCACATCCCGGGAGTCCTCCCGCCCCTTTGCCTGGGGACTTGCACAGGCTTTTATTGCGGAGTGACATTCCCTTGTGTGTGCGCCAGTCTCTTCGCCCACTGAAGGGCGTGCAGGGCAGCTCCACAGCTCAGCTACTGTGAATTGTGCTGCTATAAACATGGATGTGGCTGTGTCCCTGTGGTATGATGTTTTTAAGTCCTTTGGGTATAGACGGAGGACAGGGACAGCTGGGTCAAATGGTGGTTCCATTCCCAATTTTCCCAGAAGACTCCATACTGCTTTCCAGATTGGCTGCACCAATTTGCAGTCCCACCAGCAGTGTCTGAGTGGGCCTTTCCCCACATCCTCGCCCTCTTTATTTTTTGAGACAGCGTCTGACTCAGCTGCCCAGGCTGAACTTGAACTTGCAATCCTCCTTCCTCAGCCTCCCAAGTAGCTGGGATTGAAGGTGTACAGCACCACACCCAGCTAAATCTTAACCTTGTTTAAACCACTACAGAAAAAAAAAAAAAAGTCCCAAGTCTGCACAGGTGACTGACTCACTGTGTCCTCCAGCGGCTCTCCAGGACAGGCTTCGCTGCCTGTCAACAGACTGGAGAATAAGTCCTAGACAGGGGACAGCACTCACCAAGGGCACAGTGAGTGAGGCCAGCGCCTAATTCTGAACTTGGGCAGTCTGCAACGTGCGCCACAGACCCTTGCACACGTGCAGTTCTCCATGACGCAATGCTCTTCCCACATCTCCTGCCTGCCCGCTCCACCACACGCCCCAGCCCTCATGTGACCCCGTCTCCCCTCTTCCATCTCCATCTGTCACTCCCACTGTGATTTCCAGTCCAACTGCCATTTGGTTGACCATGACTTGTCCCTGTTTCCTTACCATGTCCCCAGGACTCAGCACACAGTAGGTGCTCAATCTCAATATGAGGGAACAGAGTAACTCAGGCAGCACCAACTCTGGCTCTGATTCCTCAGTCCCCAGGGCATGCAGGCGAACCTGGTGGGCCCAGCCACCTAGGAGGGCCACCCTTGGGGGCCCAACTGTGCCCAGGACACCTCCCACCTGGTCCCATGCCCCAAACAGGTCATCGGAGTCACCAAATAAAAACGCAGAACATTAGTCACATTTGAATTCATTTAAATAAGGAGCCTTATCCAGCGTAAGTCTGTCCCATTTATACTTACAAATCACCACTGGAGGTCATTGCGCCCCGGGCTCACCCAGTGCCGCCCCCCCCCCCGCCCGCCCCCGGCTCACCCTTCAGTTGCTGCTGCTGCTGCTTGTCCAGGGGACTGGAGGGCCGGGCTCCCATCCTGCTGTGGTCCCCGGGCCCCTGGGGTGGAGAGGACACGCTTCTCCCCACAGCCTCCCAGGTTGCTGGGCACGGGACACCCCAGGAACAAGGTGCCTGGTGGCAGGGCGGGGTGTAGGGGTGCAGAGGCCAGCCTGCCCCGCCCTGCACCTGCGTCCTCCTCCAGCCCCCGGGGGCCGCTCCCAGAGCTGGTGGTTTCTCTGGGGCAGTCCCGGGGGGGGGTGGGGGGGGGGGGGGGGGGGGGGGAGCCCTGAGTGGCTTTGGGGGAGAGATGCAGGGCAGACCTGCAGCAGGACAGGACAGCAGTCGGGTGTGGGGGCAGGGAAGGGGGATGGACACGAAGGGCACCTCAGTCCTGGCGTCCACCCCCACCTGTGCCTCCCGGTGCTGGGCGACGCTGGGTCTGGAGAGGATCCAGTTCTGGCTTAGAAGTCCCCACAAGTCCCCAAGCTGGGGTCCTAGAGGATGGGGACCCTTGAAGGAAAGGGGGGGACCCTGAGGCTTCACCCCAAGTCCTTCGGTACTGCCCCACCCCCCAGCCCACCACCCGCCCCCTCCCTCTCCTTGCCCTGCCCCAGCCCAGGGGCTCTGGTCAGTGCACAGAACACATTCCCTGGGGTCTCCATTACAAGGCTACTAAATGGACCATGTCTCCCAGCCTCCCTGCGGCTACACGGGGCTGTGCTACACAGTCCAGCCATGAAGATGTGAGCAGAAGTGTCTGCGGTAAATCCCGGGATGTTTCCCTAGAGTCAATTTCCTTTTCCTCTTCCTCTTCCAGTGGCTGAGATACAGACACAAAGGCTAGAGCATAAGCAGCCCCCTTGGACTATGAGGTAGATCCCACATGATGGTGTTGGCACAGCAATAACTGTAGCAGGAACTGGGGTCCCCAAGAGTTTATGACATTGCTCCATCAGCCCTGGCTGCCCTCTCTCCAGAGAAAGACATGAACTTCTATTTTGCAGAAGCCATCCGTCACATCTGAGCGTGCCCTGCATGAATACCACAGGATCCATCTTCTCTTTCAACATCACTCCTCGCAGCAGAGGGTGCAGAAGTGGCAAAAAATAGACCTCCAGGGACCATCAGTCACAAGGGAGCAAAATAAACACAGTGACCAAACTGTCAGATAACAAGGGCGGGAGGAATGGAGGGGGGATGGCAAATGCCTAGGGGGAGGGGGAGGGGGCCTGAGGACCTAGGCAGAGCTGGAAAAGGGGACAACTGGGCGGCAGCCACAGCACATGCCAAGGCCCTGCGGCCGGAATGTGGCTTAGCAGGGACGGAGATGGCCACACGCCCCGCAGGGCCCTTGCCGGAGGTCCTCACACCCACCTCCCGTCCTCCTTCCTCAGCGCCTGCCCAGCCTCCATCGCAGCTGCCCTACTGAGAGCGCGGCCGCTTCCCTCCTGATCGGCTCCACTCGCTGGTTCTCGGGCAGTTTCCGCTCAGGCCTCGCCCCACTTCCTCTACTCACATCTGAGCGACCCACGGGGACCACATGTCCAAGGGAACTTCACTTTCTGTGGCTCGGCCTCCCTCCCCCTCGTGCAGCTGCCTCCAGAGGCAGTTTCAATTCCCACCTGCGCTCAGCCTTCGGGGCTGCCCCAGGACCCCCACACCCCCCAGAGCTGCGCAGGGCTGAGCAGTCCAGGTGCCCACCGGCCTCCTGAGTGGGGTCCCTGGAGCTGGGAGAAGCTGCAGCGTGGGCAGCGGCGGGCACATTGGTGGCCTCAGGTGCTGGGCAGGCCGGCCATCAGCCAGACCCAGGGGCCACCGCTGGCCCTGCGGGGCAGCCAGCACTCGGGGACGTGTGCTGAGGAGGAACTGTGGCCCCCAGAACGGGTCCACGTCCTGACCCTGAAACTTCAGAATGTGACGTGATTTGTAATAAGGGTCTCTGCAGAGGGGACTCCTTAGGGTGGGCCCAGTTCCAACCACGGCCGACCTTTTAACAGGAGAGAGGCCGAGCACGGTGGCGCACACCTATGATCCCGGCCACTCTGGAGGCTGAGGCAGGAGGATGGAAAGTTGAAGGCCAGCCTGAGCAACTCAGCAAGACGGACCCAAAATAAGATCAAAAGGGCTGGGCGCGGCTCGGAGGTGGAGCCACTACCGGGTGATGGCCTCGCAGGTGCGAGACCCTGGGTTCACCTCCTGGCACCGCAGAGGAAGGAGGAGCGGGAGGACAGACAGACAGACATACAGGGTGACGGCCACGAGAAGACAGAGGCTGTGACTGCAGCGAGGCGTCCCCAAGCCCAGGGACGCCAAGGACGAAGGCAGTGGCCACCAGAAGCAGGAGAGGCCTGGGGGGAGCCTGCCTCGGGGCCTCTGGGAACCCGCCCCCACACTGACTTGGGACTTCCCACTGCCACGCGAGGACAGGGTGACTCTCTCCTATCCTCGGCCACCCAGCTTGTGGAACTTTGTTTCACCACACCAGGTGCCCTGGCCCCGGGGACACAGGCCCCACCCTCTGCCAATGGGCCAGGGCTGCGGGCAGGGTCCCCGGGCTGCTGTCGTGAAGGACCACAGGACAGTGGGGACTTCCAGCAATGCTCCCTTTAATACGCAGGTCACCGGCCCCACGGCGTGGCTGACCCCGCCAGGCAGAGCTGGCGGCGGTCCCTTCCTTCTCGCAGCACCGTGGCCAGAGGGGCCCAGCCCCGGGAGGTCCCTGGCGCACAGCCTCGGTGGCCCTGGTGGCCCTGGCGTCCCCTTGCCGGCTACAACGTGGAATGCTTCTCAAAGGGCACCGACAGGAGGCGGGCGGCCGCCTCATCCAGGAACCAGCGCAGCGTCCCGGTATGGGGCTGGACCAGGGCGGCGGGCAGCGGCTTCTCCTCCTTGTCCTCCAGAATGCGCTGCGAGGAGGGGACAGAGCGTGAGACCCCAGAGCCCTCGGCCTCTCAGAGCCCCACGGTGACTCCTGAAAGGGACCCAGTGGTTGATAGTCCCTGCCACAGCGCCCGACCGGGAGAGCGGCAGAAACTGTGTTTTTGGATTCGGGACTGTGCGCACCCAGGTCTAGGGTGGAGCATCTTGGGGACAGGACACTGGTGCCCGTCCCCCCCTCCCACACGCACTGATTCTTGCATCTGGAGTGAAAACCTGAAACTTCACGTCTGTGCAGGGACAGTTTCCGGGTGTGGGATTGTCCACTGGGGCCTTCTGCTGGAGCTCAAGAGGTTTCAGACTTGGGGACACTTTGGATGGGGGATGCTCAGCCTCCGCCCTCCTCAGCTGCCCCGACCCACAGCTGTGGGCAGGGCCAGCTCCCCCCGTGGAGGCCAGAGCTCAGGGCGTCCAGCCTCACAGCGATGGCCCGGTCCCTGCTACAGCAGCTGCAGCTCATCTGTACCAAGTGGTGGGTGCGCTAGAAAGACTTCACCAAGGGCAGGGAAATCAGAATTTTCTAGAAATTTCTTCTTTTTCATTTGACTTTTGTGCCCAGTCATCTACCAAGGTAGGACCATGCCCAGCTGGCGCGACGTGGTCTGGGAGGCCGTGGGGTGCTGACCCTGACCCGACCCGTCGTCATGGGAGCTATGAATGCAGATGGCCAAGTGTCTACCCACCAGACACCCAGCACGTTCCAGAAAAAAGTAAAGTGTGTTGAACCCGTTCCGACACCTTCCTTTGTTGTGATTCCCTAAACAACACAGTGACAACTCTTTTTTTTTTTGTACCAGGGACTGAACTCAGGGGCACTGACCACTGAGCCACCTCCCAGCCCTGTTCTGTACTTTTTTTAGGGACACAGCCTCCCTGAGTGGCTTGGGCCCCACCGTGGCTGAGGCTGGTTTGAACCTGCCATCCTCCGGCCTCAGCCTCCCAAGCCACTGGGATTACACGACACCTCTTTACAGGGCTGTGACACTCTATCTGGTTTCCTAAGTCCCCAAGGGACATTTGAAGGCCACAGAGGATGTGCCCAGCTGGGGTGCAATAGTGCATGATTTTACAGATGGGACTTCTGATGGATCTGGGTCTCCAGGAGGTTCTAGTCCAATCTTCTGTGGACACCGAGGGACACTGTGCTGCCTTCTCTCCCCCAGGCCCTCTGTGTCTTTACCTCTGCCACAGCTGTGGGGACCTCGATTCCTGCCACCACCCAGGGAGGCAAGTCGCTGGCCTGAGCTCACAGCAGCAGCCACCTGGACCCACCTGTGGGGAGTCCCTGGGGATCCCCCACCCCCCTAAGGTGGGAGAGCTGGGGCGTAGGGGGCTGCACGCTGGCCATCGCTGGCAGGGAGCTTGCCTACAGGACCATCCAGAGTCGTGCACCTTGAACCCCAGCACTAAGCCACCCCAGGACGACGTCCGGGCTCGACAGCTTTTATTTTTATTACATATTCAAAAAATATTCTAGGGCTGGGGATGTGGCTCAAGCGGTAGCGCGCTCGCCTGGCATGCGTGCGGCCCCGGTTGGATACTCAGCACCACATACCAACAAAGATGTTGTGTCCACCGAGAACTAAAAAATAAATATTGAAAATTCTCTCTCTCTCTTTCAAAAAAAAAAAAAAATATTCTAGTGTCTTCCACAGTTGCCCATTGGCACTTGAACATTTTTAGAATCACTTACAGCTTATTTTTTTAACATCTATTTTTTAGTTGTGGTTGGACACGTTATATTTATTTCATTCCTTTGTTTTTCTGTGGTGCTGAGGCTGAGGATGGAGCCCAGGGCCTCACATGTGCTAACAAGCGCTCCACCACTGAGCCCCACCCCAGCCCGACTTACAGCTTATTTTTAATATTTTATTCTATACTTTCTTAAAATGTTCTGTGTAGCTATATTTTATCTTATTCCTAATGCAACATTGTTTTTTCTCTTGATTAGCACTGACAGGGCTTTGTCCATCTTTTGGATCTACTTATTTTAGACTTTAAAAAATATTAACCAACCCATCAACTTCTGATTTTAACTGCACTTACTCCTTTTGCTATCTTTTCTTCAATTTAATATTTAAAAAAAATATTTTTTAGTTTTAGTGGATGTA